ATATATATATATATATATATATATATATATATATATATATAACATGAGTATAATTTTATCAAAATGCATTGCCTAAGAGAAAACACTACTTAAAAGTACTAGTAGAATTAATTCTGCTTTCTGCATTTTCTTTTGGATATGTTAGAAACCACAGGGATTTTATAACCTGAAATATTATGTGTTAGCCATGAATTTGTATTTAAGGAAACCCCTCCAAATTTTCATAGATTTTTCTTAGATACAGTTTACCTAAAAGCCCAGAATTTCTCTTCATTTGCTGAGAGAGTTTTGTGTCTTCTTGACCAAGTGTTCCCCCGACTGTTTCCCATCCACACATCATAGCCTGCATCTGCTAGAAGGAACCCGAGGCTTCCATTGGCGAAATTCTCAAGCCAGTAGGCGTTGTCTGCAAACAAGGCATGCTGCATATACACAACTGGCCGGGTACCTGGACAAGGGCCATGAAGAAAGAAAAAAAGAAAGAAAGAGAAATTTATAGCCACACACACGCACGCACGCACGCATGCACGCACGCACGCACACAGAGGCAAGCACACACACGCAGGCACACATGCATGCATGCACACAGAACATACCGTTTCTCCTTTGTCACTAGTGTATTAGTTTAGAGTATTAAATCCGCATGAATAGCTCTTGCAGCACATACTATATCCTGGTGCTGAGCTGACTGGTGTGCATGCATCAGCTTCTTGACTTCTTAGGACAAATTACAAAGTAGTTTCAATTTTGAGGGACAGTTTACGGATGTGCAAACCAAGCTTTCCATAATTAAATAGCTTTCCTAAATGGTCTCTTTAGTAACAAGTTTCAGAGCAGAAACTTAAAACTGATTGTGTCTCATGCCAAAGCACACATCTGTGACTGCTTTGCTTTATGTGTGCATTTGCAGTCACCACTCTATGATGCTTACAGTTTTTCAATCCTACCACGGTACAAATCAATACCTGTTCAATATAAACTGTACTTCAATTGCAATTTTGATTTCCCCTCCCCAGGCTAGAAGGAGCAATATAATACTATTTCTAGATGCTACACAGGGCAGACTTGTCCTTCACCTTCTAGATAGTCATGGGATCACCAGTGCAAAGTACTACAGTGCACTGTGTTTTTGATCAGGGAGCAAAAAGAGAAGGAGGGGGAGACTCCAGGGGTCAGCCACCCAGCTACACTGCAAGGCATGAAGTAAGAAGTAAAGAAAGGTATATAGAAATAGAGAAAGGTAAAAGCCGAGAGACAAAAGGTAGATGGGATAATTTAAGTTAAGAAAAGCTAGCTAGAAATAAGTCAAGCTAAGGCTGGGCAGTCATAGGAAAGAATAAGCCTCTGTGTATTTATTTTTGGAGCTGGGTTTCAGGCACCTAAAAATTAAAGAGCAAAGGATAAAAAACCCAACATACAAGGTAGTGAATGTTCAGTGAGATGAGAGAACTGGGGCTGATGATTAAAACAAAGTAAAACAACAAGAACAGCAGCAGCAGCAGCAGCAGCAACTAGCACAATAATTTAATGACTGAAAATATAGGTCCTGGAGTCAGGGAGCCAAATTTAAATTCTGGTTTTGTCACTTGTTGTTTGCATGACTTTGTGCCCGGTTCAGAAGCTGCCTTTCGCCATCATCTGTAAGTGGAGACAGCTAGTGTTTGCTCAGAGTTTAATACGTAGAACAATACAGCCAGCAAGCAGGTTGTAATTCCACACCTTTTCACAATTTTCTCTCCTTAAATTTATCCCTATAAAACTCTTCTCTCCATACCCTTTTCTCCCTCAAGTTTGTTGCCTGATTTAATAAAAACAAAATGAAAAATAAACAGATCCAGGATGTTATTCTTATTTGAAATGAAGGTAACAGGGCATTATTTAGGGTATACCCATCACCTAGAATAGATCTTCTATTAAATGTATTTATTGGTTTCTTGACATTTAGATCTAACTTGGAAAACTATATTTTGTATAGCAGAATTGCTCACATGCCATTCTGGGTTTTCATTTGAAAGCTCTTGAATTGCATAGTCCTTTCTCAGAGGGGCAGATTCTAAAACACTGATTCTGGTGGTTTTGGCTGCCATTGAATATGGATGGAGGAAAAGAAGCTGCAGGACCAACATGGTAAGCAGGTGTCAATGACTATTCCCCCCCCCATGCTTTGAAAATCTTTTGTTTACACTTATTTCACTCTCTGCAGAGAGTAGCTGCAATTAGCTTTCTCTTTTAGAGTGTAACTTCTGTACTTCTGCATGTTTGGCTCTTTCATTTCACAAACTGTCCCTGTGATTATGGTTGCCTGAATGTTAGTTTTCATTCTTAGAGAAGGCTTCAGAAATGTACTGTTATTCAACTCTGTGATAAGAGAAGAGACCCATTAATTTCTAGAGGGATAAGAGGAGGCAACTTTGGGATCTCACTAGAGTCAACTTCATTCAGCCCGAAAAGCCAGTAATGAGTTAATAATTACCACCTTGGTATTCACACCTGAGGCAAAGGCCTGATTTTCCTTACCAAGATCTATCTTGCCCTTTGAGCCTTTAGAGAAGTAGAAGGAAAATAATGAGCCTCCTTTTTTGCCATTAAAAGAATACTGCAGTAACTCAAACTGATTTGAACAACTCTGTCCCTCTCCCGATGAATACTTAGCATTCAATTTCAGTCATGCATCTTTCTCTCCAAGAGACAAATCTCCTGTACCTGTGAGTCCAGCTTGTGCCCTTCCATGGGGAATCCTGTTGAGGGTGAGAATGTACCCATCTGCAGTGGTGACTTCATACTCTTCACTGGGGTAGCCGTTGTAGATGATGATTTCACTCTGTAGTAGACATAGAGTTATTTGTAGCTCTTCCTTTCAGGAGACACCACAAAGTGACTAACAAGTTTATGGGGTAGATTATATAAAATCTATAGCCATAGGTAGTTGTAAAATTAAATTTATTACACAAGGTTTTCCTTCATAAAAATAAACAAACTGCTAGAAGGTATCTACTAAAATATTGGGGATGGATATTTAGCACTGACCTATCTGAGTAGGCTATATTTCCTTGTTATTTGTCTTTTGATTTTCCTTTTGGATTTAAAGATGGTAAAATCCCATGCCAGGAGAATGCTGTTGTGAATTATCCAAATGGCATTAATGATATGAATTTAAAAGGGGGATTGATGACTATAAAAGATACAACATGTTCTGCTTCTTATAGCTAGAAAATATATATCAGCTATTAAGTCAAAGGAGCTGATTACCAGCCTGAAACTTGCAAAAATGTTATAAACTGTTTATCTCATCCAAGATTTTTCCTACAGCAGGGCTGGGCCTTTTACAATCCCACCACCCACTAATCCATTTTTATTTGAAGTTTTTGGACTTACAGTATTCATCCACACTTCCGGATTCACTTCATTTTCCAAATCGAAGAGTTCACTAACACTTAAAGTTTCATGTATCAAGCAAGTTGTTGTTAAAAATAACCACATCATAGGCATGCCTGGCACGAAACATTGAATGTTTATGGGTTAATCTTATCCATCTATGTTGATGACTAAAATTAAAATCGTACCATGAGGAAAACTCAAGAGAACAGAGAAATTTGGTGCTTTATGGGAGAAACAAATACAGTGAAAATTACTTGGAGTGTCATCTTAAGCCAATTTGTAGGCCTTTCAAATTTTGTTTCAATTAAGATATTTATAAGACCTTGTTGTTGTTCAGTTGTTAGTTCAGAAGACAAGTTTTGACAACATGGCAAATTAAACAGTGGAGTCGTCTGTATCCTTGCCTTTCATCCCACAGAGCATATGGGAACAATGAACAGATGGAGTTTCCACTAAGTCATCAAACTTGTAGTCAGTTTCTAGAGATATGATACCATGTACATTTTTCAAAGTCCAGCCTGGCACGATCTCATATGTAGTCATACTCGATTGTCATGGTTTAAAGAATCATAGCTTCAAAGACAGACCCACAACATCTGAGCAGGAGAGCTCATCTCCTCGATGCTGTTAAAATCAGTCACCCTGTACTTGAAGTTCAGTCTCTAAACAAACAAGCTTTTTGACTGTGGGTAAGGATGCTAATCTCTATGAGTCTTAGGTTTTTGTTAGTAGCATTAAGATAATAATATCTTGACTTTTTCATAGTGACAGTGATGATTAAGGGACACAACAGACATAATACACTGCAATGTAAATTCCTTAGAAAAGTTTCTACTATTTTTCTTATTAGGATGAGCAAGAGGCTGATAGCAGAAATCCATTACCATATCCAGTTAATGTCTAAATTTTAAAAGCACAGTCTGCATTCATGCATGTAGTCTCTTATACTCCTTACATCTTCTTTCAAATCCTATCTATAGATATTATATGTAATTTGAAAATGGCAATAGCATCTATTGAAAGCTTCAAAGACACAGACTTCATGTTTAAGTTGTGTTACTTAAATATAGAGAAGCTCCATAAATGTGCTACTAATACATCCTCACAATAGCAAAGCAAAGAAAGGCTTAGAGACACTTATGATCTGCCCAAGGTCACAGAACCAACAGGTGACAGGTCTAGAATGGGCATGCAAACAGCCTCACTGCAGAACCCTTGCACCTTGTGGACACTCTTATCTGACTCCTTGTTGTGATGAATATCCATCTTACCTAGTTAGGTGAGCTTCCCCTGTCCAGAGGACTTCCGAACTTTTGCTTTTGACATCAGGCTGAAGAGTGAGATACAGCTGTAGTGACAGTTAGAAGCTAGAGAAGTGACAAACAGGAAGCTGGTGGAAATGAGGAAACCTTGGACTATGACACGCCCAAGGCGTCTCCCCAGCACACCAAATGAGTGATGCACTTGTAGATTGGGAAATAGTGGTCTACATGATGCCAAATAACCAGTTTGGCTGAGTCTCACTGATGTTTGCAGGTAGTATCTGTCACTCTTGAGGGGAATCAGCAACCTTTTTGTGCCAGTGCTTCACATGGGGAAGCATAATGAGCTCAGAATCCTATTGGACAAAATCAGATAACAGGCTCTCCCCTCCCAACCCTACAGCATCATCAGCATCACGATGAGTATCCACAGAAACAATGTATGAAAGTACTGTCATCGGCTGTGTAGTATGTAGGGAAGCATGTGACTATGAGTCAGTTGAGATGCAATCCAATTCTTGACATAAGACCAGGGGGAGTGTGGTAGAGGAAACCGACCGACATGTCAAAGGACTTTGACCTATAGTAAACTTTGGCAGCAATCAATTTGGTTTTGGATCTAGAAAACATCTAACTGCCTTCTTAGAGGTAGAGATGTATACCTAAAAAAGTGAAGACACTTTAGCTATAAGTTCCACATGAGCAATGCTAAATGGAGGTTTGTGTGCTTCAACTTTCTGTGTCTTCCTGTAAACCTACAGAACCGAAACCAGCACTGTACAAGCATTTCTATTTGGTCTTCCCCTGAAATCCTTTCAGGAATGAAGGTATTATCCATATTTGTCCAAATCCTAGGATCCATTTCAGTTGAATGGGAAATTTCAGGCCAATTACACCAATGTGGAGTAAAAGGTGAGACTCAGCTTGTTGGAACAAGAAGAGCTTAATCCCTACTCCATATTCATTCCAGTTTTGATAAAGAATTCAAACGTGTTTTGTTCTGATTGACAGCATGATGGCAAAGACATATGCATTTGTTTGAAGGGCGCATAGCTTTAGACTATTAATTACTTCTAACAAACTTTTATGAACTTTTTGGAAGTTCCAGGAAGCACAATACTGGTTCTTTTTTATTTATTTATTTTGGTTTGCTTTTCGTTTTTCAAAACAGAGTTACTCTGTCTTGGAGTCCATGCTGGCACTTGCTCTGTAGACCAGGCTGGCCTCGAACTCACAGGGATCCACCTGTCTCTGCCTCTTGAGTGCTGGGATTAAAGGAGTGCTCTATCACAGCTCAGCAGGAAGCACAATATTTTTAGTGTTGATTTGTTGTCATGACTTTGCATACAGAGAGCATGACTATAATTCAGTTCCTCAAGATTTTATAGATTATAAACTTGTTTGAGTCTCCAAAAGATTTTCCATTTGACTTATATTTTAATAATCTGAGGAATTCATATTGTTTTGCTTGTATAGAAAAAATTATGCCAAATAATTTAGTATAATCATTTGATAACAATTTATCACCCAACTTATATAATCTTGTTTTTAAAAACAAGTATTCAATATTTAACTGAACATTATATATGGTATAATAACAGTGTTTATGATATTTCCTATAAGTATTAATGTAATAATGACTACTATGTAATATTGAATATGGTTAGATAGTTCAATCATATTAGTTTTGATTTAAATGAACTGAATTGAAACATTTTCCTTAACCCTATGAAATATAAAATAGTAGCTAGCCTCTGGTCTCTAAGAGTTCATTTTTTCTCTACAACTAGATGATATTAGAGCTGGAAAGTAATTGTAGATAAAAAATTTAAAATAAGAGGCAGTATTTAGGAAAAATTTATGTACTGTTTCTGATAGCTCCATCAATGAATCCTATCACAGCCCAGCAAATTGTTTAAGGAACACTGTCCATATATTGACCAAAACGTCTAAAAACATGTGTATCCTGGCCCAAAAATGACATTTGCCCTGACAAGGTTTACCTCTTTTTTTGTTTTATTGTTTCTTTCACATCAAAGTCTTGCTTCTTTTCTCTTCTGAGAGGAGAATCTCAATGGCTTCAAATTCATGGTTATTGTACCTCTGCCTAAAGGCCATTTCTTAAGGAAAATTAGTCTTTCTTAAGGGTCATAGTTTTATCTTGATTATAACTTTAAGTTAAAAGCTTAAGTCTCATTCATATACACAGTAGAAATTCATGGGTATTTTGAAAAATTCACTATGAAATATTATGCCTTTGAGACAAATTTTCTCTAGAGTAAGACTTTACATTATCATACTCTAATTTGTGGAGCTGGTTTTGGTGTCTTTCTTATTAGGTAATTTATTTTCTATGCTTAAAATCAGATAGGGCTCAGTAGCAGCATAAGTATGCATAAATGTGTATTGCATGCATATAAATGCTTAATTAGCACACTTTGGTTAGTGGAAAAATACTTTATATGTTAGAATTTCATTTCTCCATTTTTTATGTGTAGCAAAGCTGGTAATGTTCATTATTTATAAAATAAAGGATTATTTTGAGACTTCTAATCAAGTGACATTTTTTAAAAAGTTAGTGACAATGAATTTGTTGTTTTTCACCACTAACGTTCACACATCTTCAAAAATAATACAGCCATGATAAAGAAACATAAGAAGGAAATATAAATAATAATCATATTGATCATAAATAATGAAAACATTAAAGGATTTTTAAAGAGACTATAGCATAATCACCTTGAACACATTCCCATCCCCATATAAATGGTCCAAGGAAAAACTCACATTTAACCATGAGTTAGGACTAAAATGCCAGTGGCTGACCTTAGTGTCACCAATGTCTTGGTAGATCTTAGGTTCAGGATTGTGCGTATGGCTAAGGCCAAAGGTTTGTGAGAGGAAGAGCAATCCTTCTCCTCCAAGCAGGTTCACCTACCTACCTTGCTTAATTCGTACAATGTATGTATGGCATTCTCTACAGCTCATGGGTGTCTGAATTCTTGTAGGCGGTGTATTCAAATGGAGGTCCCCCTCATACGGAACACTTGGCCAGGAATTTTGATTGAGTATGGTTTTGTTTACAGTCTTACCCCCTTTTGGTGATAATAAATTGTAATTGGTATATGGAGAGAGATAACACTAGTTTCTTAGTTACCTGTTTCTATATTTTGTAACTTCATATTTTATTTTATAAAATTACCGAGAGACTACCTTGCAGCATCCTTATTATCCCTAGAAATATTATCCCTGTTTTAGGACCAGATTATCTATTTTATCTCTCCCCAATCGCCAGGACCATCAAAACTTTGTGGGTTGAGTAAGTGAATGAATGAATGAGTCTAGAAGACCAGAAAAGGAGGGTTAATGACTGTCAATAAAAATAGATTATGATTTATTCAATACTTCCAATGAGTCAAATATCTTACTTTGATATTCTACTAACTTGGCCATAAATTCTCCTAAATCTTCCTGCTTTTCAACATTTCAATGTAAACCTTTCTAACATTATATAATATTTAACCCATGAGGGGATTTTTTTTTCAAGACAGGGTTTCTTTGTGGCTTTGGAGGCTGTCCTGGAACTTCTCTGTAGACCAGGCTGGTCTCAAACTAGCAGAGATCCTCCTGCTCCTCCCAAGTGCTGGGACTAAAGGCATGTTCCACCATTCCCTGGCCCACGAGGGGAAATTTATAGTCAAAATAAATAAATCAGATTCTATGTTTTAACAAAACTAACATTATTTTAATAGAGTGCATCAAATACTACTATAATGAAAGACTACTACTTGGTAACATCTATTTCTCTGCAACTCACCTCCAAATTATCCTCTTAACTCATGACTGCTA